CCAAGAAAGGATATAGGAATTTCACCATATGAGATGCTGTTCAGATTGCCCTATCTGGGCAGAAGGGATGAGATACCACAATTCAAAACAAGAGAGTTTTCTTAAGAACTGTATTCTGGGGTTGTCCTCTTCTTTGTCATCTCTCAGGACCTGTGGGTTGTTGGCTCAAACCCCACCTTTGGAATTCCCCATTCACCACCATCACCCAGGAAACCGGGTGTTGATTCGGACCTGGAAAGAATCAAACCTCCAGCCTGAATGGGAAGGACCATTACTAACCACTGAAACAGCCATAAGAACTGCGGAAAAAGGTTGGACTCACTATACTCGAGTGAAGGCATCTGTCGACCCTGGTACTCGGGAATCTGTTCCTACAGAAGACTTGTTGGAAGTTGAAATCAAAGAGAAAAATCTCATAGTGGACTGTGAGTGGGATAAAAGCTTACAGTTTTAAAGTAACCTTTTATTTTCACAGGTAACTAATGAGTGTGGCTTGCGAGTGAGAGAAAGGACTGGCCTATAGCGAATTGAAGTGCTCCCAAGGGGTTTTTGTTCTAGTACTACATATATCTTATTCTTTGTATTGATAATTCTTTGGAAACCTAAGGGTTAAAAATGATGACGGGGGAAAATCAACTATTAATTTTGTTTCCAGTGATTGTAGGCCTCAGAGAAGGCCTTGGTCAATTGGCAACTTGGAAAAGGCATGACCAGATAATAGCAAAGACGGGATAGCCCATCAAAATATGGGTGACTGTGACAGTTATGAACCACAATTCATCACGTTTGATGCTTGTGAGGTGTTAGCTTGTGGAGATTTAAGTGCCCAATGACTATTGAGCAGAGAGAACAAATAACTGGGAGAGACCCAACAGACAGATTGAGAATAGCTGTATGGAAACAATCCTCTATTGCCATCAGAGAAAGGGAGAAACTCAAGGAAAAAACAGGAGAGAAAACAGGAGGCCCTCTGAAATGTGGCAGTTCAAACATTTGAGATTCAAACAGGGTATGGCGATGTGAATGCCTGGATAGAAAGGGTCAAATATACTGTCCAGAGTCTCAACCGTAGCTACTGCTATGCTTGTGCCTCGGGATGACCGATTGCCCAGATAGTGCCCTTCCCATGGTGGTGGACCAAAGACTCCCAAGGGATGCGATGTATGATTGCATTGTACCAAGAAAAGACTGCCTGGGGAAATGAGGCCTGTAAGTCTCTCTTTGCTGTTCCTTGCATGATAACAGTATCACGGTTCCCCCTGCATTCTCTACAGCTATAGGTAACCATACAGCTTGCCTCTCACGGCAGGGTGTGAGTGCTACCTGGCATCTGGGAGAATTTGCCTTGTGCTACCAAGGACTTGATGGGAAACTGCTCAAGACTAGAGATCCCCAGGGCAGATCTCTGGTGGTACGGTGGAGGGAAGATCTTACGGTCCACCCTACCATCTAATTGGGAAGGCACTTGTGCACTTGTTCAATTAGCTATACCCTTCACCCTGGCATTTGAAAGAGAAACATCAGAAATACCTAGAAGAAGTAAAAGACGCTTAGGAGTATCATTTGATGACAGAGTATACATAGATTGTATCGGGGTGCCTAGAGGAGTTCCTGATGAACAGAAAGCCAGGAATCAAATTGCTGTAGGGTTTGATTCAGCATTGTTCTGGTAGGTGTTACATATGGAGTAGTAATTCTTGTCGAAAAAATGGTTGATATTAATAAAGAAGGGGGAGATGTGGGAGTGTGGCCATGGGGGTCTGAAACCCCGGGGTTGAGATAACATTAGACTCTTAACAATGAGGCCATCAGAAATATAAAAGAGTTTAGAGGGAACAAAGAAGATGATTCAGGAGACTCCATGCAGTCTCCAGTTTCTTGTTCTCCTGCCATTAAGGCATGGAAGTTGCTGGGTGTTTGCTGTTGCTGTTATATGCAAAGTTGTTTGACCAATGAAAAGTTGTTTTTGAAAAGAACTGCTGTGGGGAGAAGGGTATAAGAGGGGAGCCTGAGCCTCAAGATAAAAAAAGGGAAACACGATGAAGTTATGTCATCAATAAAGAAGTAGAAAGAAGGAATGAAAAGGAACAGGCTAGCAGAACAGAGACCAGGACGGGAACAGGCACATTGATCGCCTCATGAAGATAGGTTCAGCCAAACTCAGCAAACCGCTCAGAGAAGCTCGTACTGAAAGTCACTGTAAATGGGTGCACCAGAGCTGGGAAGAAGCTCAAGCTGAGAGAAGTGGACCTGCGCACGCAACTGCCCCTGGCTGGTAAGCAGTTGCTCATTATGGGGAATCATATGTCCTTAGAAACAAAGACTGTCCTGGTAACCTTACAGCTTATTCCCTTTATTAACAATCAGGCAGTTTATGACCCTGAAACATGGGACCAAATTGAGGTCAAGGTGTGGGATTCTGCAACTAAAAACGACAAGGTTGCGGCGGGATTGCTCGGCACCTGGCGAGCAGTCTCTGAGGCCTTAAAGAGCCATGTGGGACCACAATCAGAAACGTGTGGCCTCTGCTGCTACAGCCATCGAAGGCTTTTGCTGTTCTGCCCCCTGGTGACCTGGATGTGCCTTTTGACCCAGGCCCTATTGGCCTTGAAAAGGAGATGGATATGCTTTTCTTCCAACTGGGAAGAATGGGGTACATAAGGCCCGAAGGCCTGCTTGACAACTTAAAGCAAGACATATTGTACAAAAGGAATGGAAAATGGAGACTTGTTTTTAATCAAGAAAAGGAATGGAAAATGGAGACTGTTAAGTCATGGAACTTAAATGATTGTTTGTTACCTTTTCTTATTGAACATATGTATAGGCAGACTTGGGTTTAGTATGTAAAAGCTATGTTCTTTATATTTAGAATGTTTGATGTTTGTGTGTGCGTGTTGGTGGAGCGTAGACTCCCCGCACACCCAGCACTGTTTCCTTGCCTTTTATTCCTTTTATAAATATTCCTTTTATAAATATTACTAAATTCATATTGAGTTGAGACTTCATTGTACATGGGTTACATGTTACATGGGTAACAATCAATAAGAATGTGGATTAGATTCATTATATTTATTATAATCAGCAGAGAATCATAAATTATACAAGGGATGTGATAAAAAGTATTGCTGAACAACTAGGTGCCACCAGCAAAATGGTTTAGGAAAACAGAATAGCATTAGATATGAAGGAGGTGTGTGCGCGATGCTGGGCAACCATTGTACTTTTATCCCTAACAATACTGCCCCGGATGGCACAGTAACTAGAGTATTGCAAGGGCTTACCACCCTTGCCAGTGAATTGGCAGAAAACTCAGGAGCAGACACTTCCATCACCGGATGGTTGGAATCTTGGTTTGGTAAATGGAAAGGGATGGTAGTGTCCATATTTACAACCTTGATCATAGTAGCAGGAGTTTTGACAGACATTGGTTGTTGCATTATTCCCTGTGTAAGGGGACTTGTCCAGCAGTTAACTCAAACTGCACTATTGAAACAAATGACCATGGAGCCACCACCCGACTCAGATAAGATGATGATATTAGAGGAAATGGAAAGCAAAAAAGTGAAGAAGAGGAAGATATCTACCAAATTACACCTTAGAGAAAAGTTTTGTCAAAAATCAACAGTTTATAAGGAAGAAAAGGGGGGAATTGTGGGAATAGAAATATTGTTTTTGCAGTTACATTGTTTAGAGGAAAGGAATGTGGTACTGAGATATGCTTGCAGTGATAAGAAAGCTTAACAGACGACCTTGTAAAATGCAGACAACCAGAATCCTTAGAGGAATTAGGCAAAAATCACCGTGTAAGAAACATTACCACCTCAAAGAGTATAAAAGTCAAAAGAAACTTGACTTATAACAGGCTGGCAACTGAAAGCCGGGTCTTGTGTGTGAAGCACCGGATAGGACAGATTGTGAACCTGGATTACCCACTCAGTGGGGAAACAGGGGAGGGTCCCAGTCCTCGAGGAAAAAAAGTATATAAACTGTGTTATGGAACTAGTAGGCAGGCTCTCCTGCTTGTGGGGCGCCCGCCATTGCAATCGCGAATAAATTACTACTTCACTGAGATCCTCGCCTGAGCCTAAGTTGTTGGCTACGGAGTGTTTCTCACACCATGATGTCTTTCAACTATGAAAATACAGGATTAAAAGGAAACAAAAGTTAATTTTATCTGACCCGTAAACAAAAAGAACCAATGTACTTCAGACATTAAACATGCTTGTTGGCTTAAAAGCTTTTGGAGCTTTGAAAGTGTTACAGAACAGAATCTAAAGCAACACTGCTGGCACCAGAGAAACTGTGGACTTCAGAAATGTAAATTGATTTATAAGCTCCACCTTCTGCTTCAGCTCAATGACAAAGCCAATTCTTATTGTACAAGTCTGGGTTCGCCAGTTGGACAGAAGACTGATTGTAATGCCAGGAGCTTAAATATACTCAAAAAGCACTCCAGACCAAAAAGCAACCTCAGAGAGCTGGAAAAAAATCACACTGTCTTTTAAGGTTAGAAGCACCATTACCATCAAAATTATTACATAAGTGTATTTTAAGTGGTACTGCTAATTGGAACGTGTAAGTGATGGTAATACTGATCCAGTTTAAATACAAGACCATATGATTTGATTTTCTAAAAGGATACAATCTTTATCTTAGGACAAGACTGCTCTACAAAGCCAGTTTATAGCCATTTGCTGTAAAATACCTAGTTTTTCAAGTAATTTTGTAAGAGGGAAAAAAATAGTCAAGTTTGTACCTTTTCCAGAAAGCTGAGGTTGGACATAAAAGTTACAATTTCAAAAAATTAAATAAATGCATCATATAAACATTTATTTTTAACCAACTGTTGACTACTGAGACTGGTTGTTGAAAAACAAGTTTTCAATGGGTATTAGTTGTGCCAGCATGTTACCTTCCAGGACCTTAATGCCATCTTAAGCAGAATAGTTAAGCATATAAAATACATAAGAAAGAAGTAACATCTTCAACAACTTCCCAACCTCTATCCCTCATGTTCTTCTCCCGAATGACTGGAGATGTCAGCGTGATAGTAACTTGCATTTTGGGTTCCAGACATGAATTTAAAATTATTGCTGCTTCTGGGACTGCACACTTGATATCGTATTTCTCAGGACTTATTACCTAAATATTGGGAAACAGATTTCTATTAGCACCAAGAAAAGTATGGAGAAGAAAATGGACTTCAATATAGTCTTTTTAAACAGAAAGACAGAAATACAGTATTAATTATAAGCAGCAGGTATCTCTATTCATAAAAGTCACAGTATATGCAATTAAAAATATATATACATATGTACAAAGATTTGTGGACTTACTGTTACCAAATCATTAATGAAAATACAAAGCACTCACCAAGCATGCAAAAGAAAAGGGAAAACTATCCATAAAGGAAATTCATACGCCAAGTAAATTATGTAACATGAACAGCATTTAAAATAAAGAAAAGCCTCAGTGCCACTTGAAACAGCTACTGGGTATGTTTCCTGTTCAAACATACAAGTCTTTAAAAAGCACAAAGCTGCAGTGGTTCCCCTCCTTCCAGCTCTCACTTATAGGTTGGGTACTGCTAGGCACATTCTATACTTGGCTGTCGCAACATCCTCAGATGAGAACAAAGAGCAAGATAAACACCAGGGGAAAACATAAGAATAACAAGGTAGTTATTCTTAATTGGTTCTTGCTAGTGATTTAATAGTTCTAAATATCTCAAGAGGAAGGTATAGGCACCTCTGTCATCTCCTTTTACAAACTAGAAGTCAGTTCTCCACAAAGACAGACCAAGATGTGCAATTTTTAGCTTTTCTTTCTTTGTAACTTTTGAGCAGGACCCAAAATTATTTCCTAATTAATTTGATACTCCTAATGCTTCTACCATGCCACTGATTCTGCCAAGCAATTTACCAGACTACTGAAACACTGATGCTACAAGCAACCCTTCTATAATGAAGGTGGGCAGCGTTATATATGAAGTGGTAATTCGTGGTCGAGAAAATGGTTGATATTAATAAAGAAGGGGGAGATGTGGGAGTGGGGCTATGGGGGTCAGAAAAGCCCAGTGGTTGATGATAATATTAGACTCTTAACGATGAGGCCATCAGGAATATAAAAGAGTTTAGAGGGAACAAAGAAGGGTGATTCAGGAGACTCCATGCAGTCTCCAGTTTCTTGTTCTCCTGCCATTAAGGCATGGAAGTTGCTGGGTGTTTGCTGTTGCTGTTATATGCAAAGTTGTTTGACCAATGAAAAGTTGTTTTTGAAAAGAACTGCTGTGGGGAGAAGGGTATAAGAGGGGAACCTGTCCTCAAGATGAAAAAGGCAACACGATATAATGAAGTTATGTCATCAATAAAGAAGTAGAAAGAAGGAATGAAAAGGAACAGGCTAGCAGAACAGAGACCAGGATGGGAACAGGCACATTGATTGCCTCATGAAGATAGGTTCGGCCAAACTCAGCAAACCGCTCAGAGAAGCTCGTACTGAAAGTCACTGGAAATAGGCACACTGGAGCTGGGAAGAAGCTCAAGCTGAGAGAAGTGGACCTGTGCACACAACTGCCCCTGGCTGGTAAGCAGCTGCGCATTATGGGGAATCATATGTCCTTAGAAACAAAGACTGTCCTGGTAACCTTACAGCTTATTCCCTTTATTAACAATCGGACAGTTTATGATCCTGAAACATGGGACCAAATTGAGGTCAAGGTGTGGGACTCTGCAACTAAAAACGGCAAGGTTGCGGCGGGATTGCTCGGCACCTGGCAAGCAGTCTCTGAGGCCTTAAAGAGCCATGTAGGACCACAATCACAAACGTGTGGTTTGACAGACAGTGAGGGAGATGTGGGCTCCTTTACTGGTCTGACTGCTCCGCCATCAGCCCCTCTGCTGCTACAGCCATCGAAGGCTTTTGCTGTTCTGCCCCCTGGTGACCTGGATGTGCCTTTTGACCCAGGCCCTATTGGCCTCGAAAAGGAGATGGATATGTTTTTCTTCCAACTGGGAAGAATGGGGTACATAAGGCCCGAAGGCCGAGTTGCTTGACAACTTAAAGCAAGACATATTGTTCCCACGACTAGCCCTGGAATTCTCTGGTGTTTGTAATCAAGAAAAGGAATGGAAAATGGAGACTGTTAAATCATGGAAGATATGGGAGCACTTCAACCAGGATTACCAACTTCAACTATGCTCCCCCAGTCATGGACATTAATAGTAATAGACTTAAAGGATTGTTTGTTACCTTTTCTGATTGTACATATGTATAGGCGTACTCGGGTTTAGTATGTAAAAGCAATGTTCTGTATATTTAGAAAGTTCGATGTTCATGGGTGTGTGTTGGTGGAGCATAGACTCCCCGCACATCCAGCGCTATTTACTTGCCTTTTATAAATATTCCTTTCATAAATATTACTAAATTCATATTGAGTTGAGACTTCATTTATAACAGCAGGCTTTATTTCAGTAGGGAGCAAAGACTTTTACACATTTCTTATGGAAATATAGCAAATAGTTTATACGAGTTCCACTGAATGGTTTAGGACTTTTTTTTTGTAACTTTTAAGAACGGTACAACATTAAAAAGCAACAAGACTTAATCTGTTAACTGTGGAACTATGAAGCACACATACTGGAAACACACTGGCATTAATGGAGAACTTTGACCTTCAGGCAGTAAGCTTTCTATAACACTGCACAAATTACCTCTGTCACTGGTGGTAACTGGACAATAGAAAGTCATCTTCTACTCATTTATTCTATTCATTTAATTATTCATTTCTTCTATTCATTTATTCAATTGTTTATATATTTTCCAATTAAATGAACTCTATTAAATGATGATTGATACTACACCACTAGCATAAACACTTAGACAATTGTAAACACAATGTACAGAAAGCAAAACATGCAGTGTGGTCACTGAATTCAGATGGAAACACCCAGAAAAACAAAAGAAACTCAACTTGAGCTATGCTGTCAGCTGAGCAGCTGTCAGCCCTGCAGACATATGACTTGAGGACAGATTTTTTTTTTTAAGTATCTTTACAAAAAATCAGATGAAAGAATCTAAACTCTACTTACTGCAAGCTGTTTGGGAAGACTTTCAGCAATACGACTGAGTAAAGTCTTTGAAGGCTTCTCAGCACATAACAAAACAAGATTGACATTTCTGTCTCCACGGAGCAGCAAACCTTTAGCCAAAACGCCTACCCGTAAAACTCCTTTCAAAGCTCTGTGAAGTAAATTACAGTTAGAAATTGCTTTAAGGTTTTACTATTATTTTAAATGCTAGTCATGAAGATAGAAAAATGAAATGAAATAGGAATATTCCACATACTCCTGAGGACACAGTCCTAATCAAAATTTGCTGTATAAAAACTTAAAGAGAACAGGATCCCTGGAAGCACTAAGAACAGTACAAGGAAAAACATAACATGATTTTAGAAACAAAAGATGCATTTCTTAAAAAAAAAAAATACCTGTCTTTACTGCAATCTTTTTTATCATCTCCCTCTTTGCTCTTGTTTTTTTCATGGTCAGTCATATTGTCAGAAACAAGTTTCAAAGCACGCTCAGTAATAGAAACGATTTTTTGGACTGCCTGAAGTTCCTCCTCTGTTGGATATATTGCCGCATGTTTGGTCATCACGTAACGGTCGTCAGAGGAGTCAGGGCGGCATAGAGGCTAAACAGAGATAAAGTGTATTTCTGAAATGTGGGAACACTTCAAAGTTCATAGAATATTCAAGCCTCAAATGACTGAAATGTAACAAAACATGAACTGAGATGTCCTTAACAACTTACACTGCTCACAATCATGTCTGAAGAAACTATAGAAATAAAACAAATTTTGAAATCCACAGATCCAAAGTACTCCTCTCTCCCAAATAAGTATCTATTGTCTTTTTATTAACCGCTAAATACTTGCATACTTATTCACTGCTGCAAAATAAAGTATCTATGGTTTCTTTCAGAGAAAGAAGAATTCAAATAGTAAGGGGCCTCAGGAGGTCTCTAGTCCAACTTCCTGTGCAAACAACGGTTAGCTATAAGATCAGATCACATTGTTTAGGGATTTATCCAGTCATGTCTTGAAAAAACACCAAAGATGGAGGCTGCACAACTTCTCTGTGAAAAAGTTACTTCCTGTATTCAGTCTGAACTTCTCATCTCAGCTTAAGCTGGCTCTATCTTGATCTCACCACTACAAAGAACCCGGCTCCATCGTCTTTCTAAGGCACAGACATTAGAAGGCTCTTAGGACCTACTGACGCTCTCTCTTCTCCAGGCTGAAAGTGGCAAGATCCTTGTCTCTCCATGTAGCACACATGCTGCAGTCCCCAGTCATTCTGGTGACCCCACACTGAACCTGCTATGATTTATCAGTATCTTTCTTGTACTAGAATGCCCTAAACTGAATGCAGTATTGCAGCTTGGGTCTAATGAAAGCTGACTGCTTCCTATCATCTATTGATTATGCTCCTGTTAATACAAATCAGGATACTGTTGGTGTTCCTTGCTGTCAGAGCACATTGCTGGCTCATGTTCAGCTTGTTCTCTGCCAAGATCCCCAGGTTCCCTTCTGTAGGGCTACTACCCAGCCTGTCACTTCCCAGCCTTCACCAGTGCAATGGGTTACTCCTGCCCAGGTGCAGCACTAGCCATTTGTCCTTGCAGAATCGTGTAAAGCTCCTGTCAACTCATTCCTCCGGCTTGCCTAGGTCCATCTGGACAGAAGTCCTGTCCTTAAAGGTATAGGTTCTTCTCCCCACCCTGAGCCGATTAAGTTTCATGTCAGCAGCAAACCTGATGAGCACACACTAAACTCCATCACCTTTCAGATGACTGATAAGGTACTAACAAGACAAATCCCAGGATAAACCCATATGGTACTCCACTTGTTACCAACCTCAAAGGAGAGTAGTACCCACCACTAACCATTATCCTCTGGGACTCATGATCCAACCACTTTTTACCTAATACATTTGTCCACAATTATAGAATGGTTTGGGTTGGAAGGGATCTTTAAAGATCAAGAAAATAATGTTTTATAATGCAATTAAATAAAAGTAATACACAAATCCAGAAAGACTTGTATTTCAGAAGCATCAGTATTTTTCGAGTATATTTCAAGTATATTTCGAGGCATCTTATTGTCATATTAAGTGGACTTATTTTGGAAGAAAGGTTCATCTACATAATTTCATTAGCATATAATTTTTTTTCTTCACCTTTATGAATCCTTTATTAAGAAAGGATGGAGACAACTCTGCACTGAATAATTTATAGTCCTTAACTGTGCCTCCTGGTAAGTAAGATTTCATTGTTTTCCCTTCAAGTTAAGAAACTCACAGCTGGTCCTTGGGGCTGAGGAGGTATTCCTGGTCTAACTCCCAGCAGGCCTAGAGGTCCTGGAGGACCATGAGGATATCCTCCATCTGGTATTCTGCGACGGTCATCCCAGTGATGCTGCTCTTCCTCCATTCTCCTCCAGTACATATCTTCTTCATATCGCCTGAAGTGCATGAAACAAAGCATTCTCTTTACATAGCTGTTAGTACTTCCAAACATTCTAAATAAATTCTTGGATGTCCTCACTAACTCATTTCTAGTAATTGTGCAAATACCAGGGAATTCCAGAGGGTAAGTAAAAAGGAATGGCTTTTTGAAAGTGAGTCTGTTTATAGCAAAATAATTCTAGTAAGTCCACATTCCTCAGAGGGCTCAAAGACCAGCAAACGAAAACCCCAGTGAATTAATGACAATTTAATTTAAAACAAGACAGTACAGAGTTCCCACATCATTCAAAAGAACTAACTACAGAAGCAGAGTTAGTTTTAATCCGACTTCAGCTTTGTCTCATTTACTGATAAAACAATGCATTACCTCATTTCCATCCTCCAGCGTTCTTCCTCTTCTCGCCTTCTCCAGTATTCTTCCTTCTGCATCTGTTTCCTCATCTTTTCTTCTTGAATTTTTCTTGCTCGAATACTGGGCTTTACTTCTACTTGTAAATCTGGGTTTACTTTTTTCTAGTTCAGAAAAAAATGAATGAAATGCTGGTTTTCCTCGTCATCTCAAATTTACTCAAATTTACAAATTTATTTATTTTTTCCTGGAATGTTTAACACACACTACTTGTCTACAATAAAATCAAGGGGAGTAAAATGCAGTTTTAGAACTACATTGAATGAGTAGTTGACGAAAATCATGTCCAGTATTTTAAAGAAATAACATATTACAAATAGCATGAATCCCCTCTTTACCTACATCAGGAACAAAGTAATTTAAGATGAAAATGTTACATGAAAGACCAAGTAACTTGCTGTTCATTCTGTAGCCAGGTGACTAATGTGTAGCCTGAAAAAACATTTCCTCTCAACTACTGTGTGCTTCCTGACACCCTAATTCCTGAAAGGTACCTCATACAGATGTATCATCATGAGTTACTGAACACATTTTTCTAGCAATTCTCTTTTTTCATCCCTTTCATGATTACACAGGCCCATTACAATTCCTGAGACCACAGTAGATTCTTCTTACATTGTTTCATAATAATCAAAATGCACACCATATATCAATACAGGTGGCTCTCCACTCATGACTGGAAAAAAAGCTCCAATGCTCATTTCTCAAATGTCTCCACAAAAGGTTTGTGTGGTCTATCCTGCCAAAAACATTAAGCACTATTCTATTACACTGCTTGAAATTAATGGTAAAAAACATAAAAGAACCTACTGTTGCTTGCATATGTTGTACCATATTTCAATGTTGCAAAGGTTCCCAAAAGCAACATTCAAAATGTTTAATAACAAACAAAATCAAAATGGAGTTTCATAGTCTGCATTACTGCTTTGAATCACAGAATCACAGAATCACAGAATTTCTAGGTTGGAAGAGACCTCAAGATCATCGAGTACAACCTCTGACCTAACACTAACAAGTCCTCCACTAAACCATATCGCTAAGCTCTACATCTAAACATCTTTTAAAGACCTCCAGGGATGGTGATTCCACCACTTCCCTGGGCAGCCCGTTCCAATGCCTAACAACCCTTTCGGTAAAGAAGTTCTTCCTAACATCCAACCTAAAACTCCCCTGGCACAATTTTTTTTTTTTGAAGACTATAATCCAAAGAAAATCAATATATTTCTCTACCTTCTTTAAAATGCTGTTTACTCAGAGTACTTAGTTTGGCATTCTTTAAACGTAAGACTGTACAATTAGATTACAATCTGATGGATTTTCAGATAGAAGCATAAACATTTCTACTAACCTTATACTGAAGTCTGTGCCGCCTCCCTTTTAAGTGCATCTCCTTGGCATTTGGATCATTAAAACTGCATTCACAAAGTTTACAGTGAAAGCGGATCACCTTTCCTTCATCATTTCTTACCTGGAAAATAAAGTTTAACACAGTTGTTTTTGTGTTTATTTGTTGTTGTTGTTTTTGTTTTAAACTCAAAAATGATGTAAACATGAATTGAATTCAGTAACATTGGATAATGTGTACTCATCTATAACACATACTAAAAAGTTCACACAGTAACTGAAAGAAGGCTAGCTTTCAATTCTGCCAGAGACACCATTGTGCTCCATAACGAACCGAGTTCTTCCATTCCAATGAGCACACAGCTTTAAACTTGAACCTGAACATATTGAGCTGAAATTAATAATAGCAAAACAAAAATAATGAAAATTAGAAAAAAAAATCAAATAATGAAAAATAATGAAAGATTTACATCAGATTCTGATCCTATCGACTTGATCCACGTCTCATACCACCAACGTGAAGAGTCCCCCGCTCAGTTCAAAACATATACAATACAAAAATGTGAATATATGCACAAACCTTTGCAGGTGTGATGCCTTGTTTCATAATGAACAATTTTTCACTGAAATAGTTAAAATAATACATATTTTTGCATCAATACCTCCTCCACGTAGTCATGGCCCACTGGCTGTACATCACTTTGCAGGGCAGCAAGAGTCGCAGGAGTCACTGGTTCAGTTGCTGTGTTTGGTGTTACTTCCTGTGTTTGTACCGTGGCAACAAGAGTTGTTTTAACACTTTCAGCTGATTTCATTTCTTCCAGTTTACTTTCTGTTGTCTGAAGCTTATTACCACCTACAAATTAAAATATTAAATTTTTTTAACTTCCATAAAATGCAAACATGATTACACGTGATGTACAGACTGAAGAGTTTATTTGCAAGTATCAATGTTCTGCCCAAAACTTTATCAGTCTTTTAAAACTAGTTAAAACTTAAACATATTTAAAATATAAGTGTTGGTTTTTTTAATAAATAAAAGTTTGAAAACATTCAAGTTTGTTTAAAGCACGTAGTATTAGCTTTTAATTTTAGCACAAAAACCTACTACTTTACGTAATTTTCATCATTCACTAACATGCTTTTTTGAGAGAGGACCGAAAGGAACAAAGACATTTTAATATTTTTTTTTTTGTAAATGGATCCAAAACCATATTTGAAAAACCATATAATTTGTGTATTAACAAAGGTACTATGCTCTCAATGTTGCAACTGCATAGGTTTTTCCTTCAAGAGGAGAACAGCTTATTTCAGAACATCTACTTCCCATCTCTGTATGTCTATCATGCTAATTTCAAAAAGTTTTCACTATACACTTCCACTGTTACAAGGATGTTTCAGCTGCCCAGTAATCAACTGCCTGTCTGCCATAGCAGTCCAGGCTGTAAACTGAAATTAGGACCAACTGGACTATAAACTGCAATACTCCATCAACTACTATGTAAGAAACCAAAACACTTTTATGAAGGAGGAAGAAGCCTCCAGGAAAAGTCAGGTAGAGACAAAAGGACAGAAGACAGAATCACATAAACATCTAGGTTGGAAGATACCTCCAAGATCACCTAGTCCAACTGCTGACCTAACACTAACCAGTCCTCCACTAAACTCCTCTTAGGTCAGAGGTTGGACTCAATGATCTTGAGGTCTCTTCCAACCTAGAAATTCTGTGATTCTGTAAACCATACCCCTAAGCTCTACATCTAAACGTCTTTTAAAGAACTCCAGGGATGGTGACTCCACCACTTCCCTGGGCAGCCCATTTCAATGCCTCACAACCCTTTCAGTAAAGAAGTTCTTCCTAATATCCAACCTAAACCTCCCCTGGAGCACCTTTAGCCTGTTCCCCCTTCTGTCACCAGGCACGTGGGAGAATAGACCAATCCCCACCTCACTACAGCCTCCTTTAAGGTACTTATAAAGAGCAATAAGGTCGCCCCGAGCCTCCTTTTCTCCAGGCTGAACAAGCCCAGCTCCCTCAGCTGCTCCTCATAAGACTTGTTCTCCAGACCCCTCACAAGCTTCATTGCCCTTCTCTGGACTCGCTTGAGCACCTCCATGTCCTTCTTGTAGTGAGGGGCCCAAAACCGAACACAGTACTCGAGGTGCGGCCTCACCAGAGCCAAGTATAGGGGGACAATCACTTCCCTAGACCTGCTGGTTCTTATACAAGCCAGGATGCTGCTGGCCTTCTTGGCCACCTGAGCACACTGCTGGCTCATATTCAGCCGACTATCAACCAATTCTCCCAGGTCCTTCTCCACCAGGCAGCTTTCCAGCCACTCATCTCCCGGCCTGCAGCGCTGCTTGGGGTTGTTGCGTCCCAGGTGCAGGACCTGGCACTTGGCCTTGTTGAACTTCATGCAGTTGACCTCAGCCCATCGGTCCAGCCTATCCAGATCCTCCTGCAGGGCCTTCCTGCCCTCGAGCAGATTGACACACACACCCAACTTGGTGTCATCTGTGAACTTACTGAGGGTGCACTCAATGCCCTCATCCAGATCATCGATAAACATGCGAAAGAGAACTGGCCCTAGTACTGAGCCCTGGGGGACTCCACTAGTGACCGGCCTCCAACTGGATTTAACTCCATTCACCACAACTCTTTGGGCCCGGCTACCCAGCCAGTTTCTAACCCAACGAAGCGTGCGCCAGTCCAAGCCAAGAGCAGCCAGTTTCTTGAGGAGAATGCTGTGGGAAACACTGTCAAAAGCCTTGCTGAAGTCAAGGTAGACCACATCCACAGCCTTTCTCTCATCCACCCAGCATGTCACTTTGTCATAGAAGGAGATCAGGCTCGTCAAGCAGGACCTGCCTTTCATAAACCCATGCTGACTGGGCCTGATCACCTGGTTGCCCTGCAAGTGCCGCATGATGACATTCAAGATAATCTGCTCCATGAGCTTCCCTGGCACTGAGGTCAAACTAACAGGCCTATAGTTTCCTGGGTCTACCCACAGCCCTTCTTGTAGATGCGTGTCACGTTTGCTAGCCACCAGTCAACTGAGACGTCCCTGATAGCCAGGACTGCTGATAAATGATGGAAAGCAGCTTGGTCAGCTATTCTGCCAGTTCTTTCAGTGCCCTCAGGTGGATCCCATCCAGCCCCATCGACTTGCACCATAAATTATGAAGCAGAACTTTTATACACATTTTTATTTTCACCTATCAGGAGTTACTCATGCATAGTTAACTCAATACATTTGTATTTACTAAACTAAGATCTTTAAAAAATATAAGGAATAGGTTAGGTTTCAAAATAAAGACTGACTTCTGTACTTGCCAACAAAGTTTATTTTCGGTGTAGATGTTTTCTTTACAGCTATATTAGCAGCAGTTGAAGATATTTTGTTGTTGGACGCCGTGTTAAGTGGTGTGCTTGCCGTGGGAATAAGAATTTTCACTGCAGAGGATGTAACAGAGGAGTTCACAGTACTGCTGCTAGTTGATAAGCTTGAAGCAGATGCAGCTGGTTTGGAAGCAGATGTGGATGTTGAGGAAGTAGCCTGGGTAACCAAATTTGGTTCAGTTGAAGGAATGGGTTTGCCAAGTTTTGTGTGCAATTTTACTACCTATAAGAAAAAAGAGAAATTCATATACTCTCCCTGGGACAACTAGAAAAAAATGAACTTGTTATAGGCTATGGAAGCTGTAACACAAACAAATATAACATTGAAAAAATAAAAATAAAAAGTGATCTTGGCAAGAAAAGGTGAACATGTAGAAGTTTTTGTCATCTGTAACAAGGAAATTGTTAACTGTTGTCTCAGATTGCTTATTTCCATCGCAAATTCAGTATTTACTCCAAAAGCTACATGGATAAGATAGCCAATAAACTGAAAGGCCAGTAAAACTGAAGGAGGAATTTTGCTCAAAATGTTTCCATGTCACTGTTTTGCTGTCCGGTTGCTTTTTCTTCTCTTCAAAAAGCATAATACATTAAACTACTTTTTTGAAAGAGCTGACCATCACCTGAAAAAGGAATACAAGCAGTCCATAAAAACTAAACATGCAAAATGAAAGCTAAAGATTGGGAAAGATTTAAAAGTAGCAATAAAAAATCTGCTAGACACACCTTTAATGCAAAAGTGTAGACAACAATAATACGCATATAACAGTATACATACGCTTCTTGGGTTTTTGCTCATTTTTTTTTTCTTTTAAAGTAAATCATATTTCCCCCATTGGAATACAGGCTATAACTTCAAGTTTAAGGAACTCTTCAAAATGACTTCTGCAGTAGAATGCACAAGATTTTTCACAGTGTACCAAAGTAATAGATTCCTTTGAGATTTCAGTTTTACGCAGATGACAACCTAAATTAGCAGTAGATAGTGACTATCTATAAGGAAAAGAAAGCTACATCCACATGTATTAAGATAACATACCAAACTCCATATATCTATCCAATTACTAGGGACACCACAAAAAAAATAATGGCTCAATGTATTTATAAAAAAAACACTAGACACGTCTAAATTATATTTGTTCTTGCACTAACAAAAATCATATTAAGGAAACTTTTAAATGCATTGTGAGATTTATTTATTTTAATAGGAATGATGTTACTGATGCCACTTTGTACAGTGCTCTAGGTTAGAAAGGTAAGAGCTGTAAAAGCTGAATATTAATACTGTATTTGTTACTGACATTAATCTTGCCCAAGTAACGAAGAAAATCTGTAATACTGTCCTGGTTTCAGTTAGGACAGAGTTAATTTTCCTCCTAGTAGCTGGTAGGGTGCTATGTTTTGGATTAGGATGAGAAGAGTGCTGATAACATGCTGATGTTTTCATTGTTGCAGAGCAGTGCTTACACCAAGCCAAGGACATTTCGGCTTCTCACTCTGTCCTGCCAACGGGCAGGCTGGGAGTGCAGCAAGAGCTGGGAGGGGACAAACCCAGGACAGCTGACCCAAATTGGCCAAAGGGGTATTCCATCTCATCTGACATCATGCTGAACAACACATAGGGGTGGCTAGCCGGGGTGGGGGGGCCGTGCTGCTCAGGAATAGGCTGGGCATCGGTCAGCGGGTGGTGAACAATTGCATTGTGCATCACTTGTTTCGTACACATTATTAGTAGTAGTACTATTATCATCATTACTGTTATTATTATTATTGTTATTATTATTTTTTTGTCTTAATAAACTGTCTTTATCTCAACTCACAGGCTTCACTTTCCCATTTCTCTCCCCCATCCCAGAGAGGGAGGGGAGAGGGTGAGCGAACGGCTGTGTGGTGTTTAGCTGCTGTCTGGGTTAAACCGCAATAAATATATAAACACAGACTACAGTGCTATTCTATTTACTATTGTATGGCCAAATTCAAAATACAGGTCACAGGGGTTCACAGTGAAGACCAAGTCTTCTTTCCAGAATACCTACATACCTGCACCCAGACAGTAGGGAAAGCATGCTTACCCGAAGTATTCCAAACACACACTATGAAGTCTACTACTACAGTGCACTGTTCTGTGCTCCCATATACCAATTTTGTTTGCAAGAAATGCCAAGGTGCATAATTATCCTGTCCCTTGGCACTGACTCGGTTTACAGCATTTCAAAACGCACTGTGAACTTCACAGCACCAAGCAAGTAAGCTGACTACTGAGAAAAGTCTTGGAAAGAGTTACTGAAGACAAGCATGCTACCACGTCTTCACTGACTCTTTTCCCCACCTTATTCTACACCTTCATGCTACAATTTCCATACTTTCCCTAATACATCCCCTTCTTATTGATGCAGCAGCAGTATTTTTCTCCCTTTCTCCCGACAATGCCCTTCTAATAGTGAGCTTAAAGTTACATTTGAAACAAAAAGCAGAAATAAACATTTTAAAACAAACTTATTCAAACTATATTGTGTCTGCTTATTTTCTCCCCTCTAAGATGAGGGGAAAAACATACAACTGACTTGTGTAATAAGAACAAAGAAGACTCTTACTTTCTGATGTTTTGCTCCACGGATATGGGCAGCATATGCATCTGCTCCTGTACAAGACACATCACAAAGCTCACAGCGCAACTGATTCTGAGATCCACGAGCAGATGTGCTGCTGTTATTGGTGTTCTGGGAAGCTTTTAATGCTGCTTCTTTCTTTTTGTGTTTCTGGCCTTCTAAGTGTTCTTTATAAGTCTGATTAAATAAATAATATACACAGTAAGCTACCTTTGTACTGCTTGTTCATCTTTCAAGTGAATACACATAGAATAGACCATAACATAAAATACATGCTTTGTATAAGAACTACTTCCTACTTTGAACATTTATTTTATATTACATGCTCTAAGGCATAAACAGGCCACTTGCAAGAACAAGAAATTTTCTTCTCCACTACCAGAATTCCACTTTTAGAAGTAATACAACCGGGCTTCTCCTCCCCTACCTGCTCACTTCCTCAATCAAGTACAGTTCAAAAGATATTAATATTGAAAACTTGAGATGATCACAAAACTGTATCTCAGTTGCAGTTTCCTGCACTACATTGAATTATTCTTGATTTTGAATTTTCCTCAACCTGCATGATGACACTGATTAAGTGTATCCTGAGAGCTAAAAAATTGATTCAAAAGAAGGTAGCACAAAAAGCTGTGGTGAAAATGAAATGCAGAAGTTGAGATTTGCTCCTATAACGTCACTGACAACCTAGAGAGACAGGGTGGGAAATAATGACAGACTTCCTTAAAGAACTGTTGAGCCAAACACACACAGATACTACATGAATTGATGTCTACATTTTACACACTTGTACCCACTGTGAAACTACACTGAGATGACAGAATACCATGAAAAATAAATTTTCGGGCTTCCCATTCACAAAATTTATATAATTGAGTAGTTTTGAAAAAAAGTGTTTCCTAAGAAGTTTGCTGTGCTAAAAAAGCAAATCAAATTCATAGTTTATAATACTTCTGGAGTTCAAAGTATTGTTAAAGGTTCTCTGTACAAGCTAACAGGATGCATCTTTTGCCTTCACGTAGTAACTCTATAATAGCACAAACTTTCATTTAATTATTCCTTTAATAAAACTGCAGAATCAGGTCCTTAAAATTTAAGGAGTTTTATAAAGGGGGTCATTTTTTTTCTGAAGAAATTATGACGAAAAAACGTATAGCAGAATATTACATAATACAAGTACCTGTGGTCCAGCACAGCTGATCTTACAAACATCACAGTAGTGGATCTGGGGTGTTTTGGGAGGTTGTTTTGCTTTCAGTTGCTTATTTTGGAATGATGCCTTTTTTGTAAAGGTGGTCCCTGTCCAAGCAGCTGTTGCAGCAGCAGCAGCAGCAGCTGCTGCCGCCTGTTTCTGTTGCTGCTGCTGCTGCTGGTAATAGGACGATGCAGCTGAATACACAGCAGCTTCATAGCCAGAATAAGAGGTACCTCAAAGATCAAAATAAAATAAATAAAATAAATATTACATCACTGTATAGTACATCATGTATCAATTACATAACACACTACTTACAAGCACACTGTGTAACAGAGGTGGGGGGACAGGATATAAACAATTTATTGATATCTCGTTACATAGTCCAAGTTTTTCTTGATGTTTCACAGTACACAAATATATAGCATACCACTTGTATCTTTTTTTTTTTTTTTTTTTTGGACATCTTCACAGAGACATAGTTATGTTGCTGGATCATCCCTAAAGAATATGTGAAAATTCCTCGTACATCTGGCAAGACTGATTCATAGAATCATTACGGTTGGAAAAGACCTCCAAGATCATCTGGTCCAACCATCCCCCTACTACCAAATGTCACTTACTAAACCATGTCCCTAAGCACCCCGTCCAACTTTTCCTTAAACACTCCCAGGGACGGTGACTCCACCACCTCCCTGGGCAACCCATTCCAATGCCTGACCACTCTTGCTGAGAAGAAATGTCTCCCAATTTCCAACCTAAACCTCCCCTGGGCAACTTGAGGCCATTCCCTCTATTGCTATCACTGGTTATCTGTAAGAAGAGGTCGACCCCCAGCTCCCCACAACCTCCTTTCAGGTAGTTGTAGAGAGCAATAAGGTCTCCCCTGAGCCTCCTCTCCTCCAGACTAGACAACCCACGTTCCCTCAGCCACTCCTCATAGGACTTGTGTTCCAGGCCCTTCACCAGCTTCATGGCCCTTCTCTGGGCATGCTCCAGGGCCTCGATGTCCTTCTTGTAGTGAGGGGTTCAAAGCTGAACACAATACTCAAGGTGTGGCCTCACCAGAGCAGAGTACAGGGGGACGATCACCTCCCTGGTCCTGCTGGCTACACTATTCCTGATACAAGCCAGGATGCCGTTGGCCTTCTTGGCCACCTGGGCACGCTGCCGGCTCATGTTCACGACATAACAAGAACAAAATATTTCTCAAAGGCCAAATGGAATAAATAGTCTTTTGGAAGCAGATTTATTGTTCAAGATCCAAAACAAAAAGGAGGACAAATTATGTAGAGGAAGGCAAAAAAAAATACAAAAGATAGAACTGCTAGCGCTATTATTACATTCTACCTCAGTGATTTAAACTGTTTCAATGCAAAGCTACTTGTCTGCTAAAACCTCTGCAGCACACCCTAGATATGCACTCCTTGATTTCTAGTCTCAAAGCTGAATAAATCAAGGAAACCGGGCTTTCATATCTTTGAGATAGTTTTCCCATAAACTTTTTACATCTACTGGTTCAACTATTTTAATCCTCTGATCAGGTTCTCTTTCAAGGAAGTCCCTTTAAAATCCCATTTTAAACAGAAAACCAAAAACTTCAAGGTAGATATAACATGTCAGTTGATCACCATCTGGCCATAAACCTGAAGTTTCTTTTCACATTTAACTAGGCTTTGGATTCTAATGTTTAAAGAAAAGTGTTTTTTTGTTTATTTGATTGTTTTTTAGCACCCATTCTCCTCCCATTTTGTGCCAACAGAACCCAAAATTACAAGATTTATATTGGATTGGTTCTCCCTGTTGGTTTGATAGTGTTATATATGTAATTCGTGTCAGAAAAATGGTTGATATTAATAAAGAAGGGGGAGATTTGGGAATGTAGCAATGGGGGTCGGAAAGCCTCGAGGTTGGTGATAACATCAGACTCTTAACGATGAGGTCATCAGGAATGTAAAGAGTTTAGAGGAAACAAAGAAGGTGATTGAGGCAACGCCCTGCCGTCTGGGGTTGCTTGTTTTCCCCTCTGTTAAGGCACGGAAGTTGCTGGGGGGGTTGCTGGTTAGAACTGTTAACATTTATTGTTTAATGTTATATGATAATAATATTATTAGTGTGGTTTCAAGGGTTAACGAAATGAGGGAAAAGCAATCACGTTTTGTTGCTTTTGGGAACCTTGTGGTGGGCAGAGCATGTGCAGAAGAAGAGGGAGACAGTCGAAGCCGCTCCTGCAGTCTGGAACAAAAGGTTGCTAATGGTGATGGGGAAACTGTGAGCCTTTCACCCACAACGACCAGCACAAAGAGAATTATAATATGAAGTGGGGATAGGATATCCATATGTATAGGCATAATTGGGTTTCTTGTAAATATGTAACAGCAATGTCCTATATATATTTGGAAAGTTCGACAGGTGCGTGTGCGTGTTGGTAGAGCATAGACTCCCTGCGCACCCAGCGCTGTTTACTTGCCTTTTATAAATATTCTTTTATGTTACTAAATTCAGAGTTGAGACTTCATTTATAACAATAGCATCATGCTCTTCCAATTTCCCTGGGTTTTATTTGTGTGGATGTCTCTCCATTTTTTTCTATTCCCCCACCTTCTCTCTCCAAAACTTTAAACAAGTCACAAAACACCATGTACATAGCAATGCTAATACTTTCTATATTTTCACATGTAAAAAAATAGGCATACTTAAGCATAAAAACTTTTAAAGATAAATCATTATACTGGCAAAACATTTTGATGCAACTGGTTGATACTTCTCAGTAGACTATGATGCAATTGAACACAAACATTTTGAGTATTTAAATCCCGTAATCCTCTGTGAAAAAGATCCCAGCAGCATAATACACAAAACTCTTACCAGAGTAAGTAACTGCTGTTGTACTGTACGTTGCACTTTGAGTATAGGATGGAACAACAGTAGCTGCAGCTGCCACTGGCTGTACAGTAGAGGATACTGGATATATAGAAAATGTAGTTGTTGCTGGACTTGGGGTTGCAGGTTTTATAGCCGTCACTTGTCGCGTTTGTTGGGCTTGAGTATATTGAGCTGCCCCTTGGCTATATCCTGCTTTCTGAGCTAATGAGGATAGAAAACAGAAGTATACAAACATAGGCTTTAGTTGAATGAAGTGTAAACCATATTAAGTAATGCTTAATGATACCTAATAACATTCTGGGAATTAAACATAACAAGGAGAGGTGTTTTTTTGGTTGGTTCCTTTATTAGCACTATTTTAACAGTCATGGTTATGTACTGTGTAATTGTGCAAAAAACACACAACTGTGTAAATATGTCTCAGGTCACATTAGTAGGCCTCAGATTATTTTGTTTTTCAGCTACGCTGCCATGTTCTCAAATGTTATATATGGAGTGGTAATTTGTGTCGAGAAAATGGTTGATATTAAAAAAAAGAAGGGGGAGATTTGGGAATGTGGCCATAGGGGTTGGAAAGCCCCATGATTGAGATAACATTAGACTCTTTACGATGAGGCCATCAGGAATGTAAAAGAGTTTAGAGGGAACAAAGAAGGGTGATTCAGGAGACTCCATGCAGTCTCCAGTTTCTTGTTCTCCAGCTGGTTCTCTTGTTCTCCAGCCATTAAGGCATGGATGTTTCGGGGTGTTTGCTGTTGTTATATGCAAAGTTGTTTGACCAATGAAAAGTTGTTTTTAAAAGAACTGCTGTGGAGAGAAGGGTATAAGAGGGGAGCCTGCGCTCAAGATAAAGATAAGACAACATGAAGTTACATCAATAAAGAAGCAGGAAAAAGAAGTGAAGAGGAACAGGCTGGCAGAATGGAGACCAGGACGGGAGCAGGCATTTTGATTGCCTCATGAAGATAGGTTCGTCCAGACTCAGCAAACTGCTCAATAAGCTCGTACAGTTACTGGGAATAGGTGCACCGGAGCTGGGAAGAAGCTTAAGCTGAGAGAAGTGGACCTGTGCACACAACTGCCTCTCGCTGGTAAGCAGCTGCGCATTATGGGGAATCATATGTCCTTAGGAACAAAGACTGTCCTGGTAACCTTACAACTTATTCTCCTTATTAACAATCAGACAGTTTATGAGCCTGAAATATGGGACCAAGCTGAGGTCAAGGTGTGGGACTCTGCTACTAAAAACGACAAGGTGGCAGTGGGATTGCTCAGCACGTGGCGAGCTATCTCTGAGGCCTTAAAGAGCCATGTAGGACCACAATCACAAACGTGTGGCTTGCCAGACAGTGAGGGAGCTGTGGGCTCCTTTAGTGATCCGACTGCTAAAGCATCAGCTGCTCTGCTGCTACAGCCATCGAAGGCTTTTGCTGTTCTGCCCCCTGCTGACCTGGATGTGCCTTTTGACCCAGGCCTCTTGGCCTTCACAAGGAGATGGACATGTTTTTCTTCGATCTGGGAAGAACGGGATACATAAGGCCCGAAGAATGGAAAACGGTGACTGTTAAGTTATGAAACTTAAAGGATTGTTTGTTACCTATCCTTATTGTATGTATGTATAGGCATACTCAGGTTATTATGTAAAGCAATGTTCTGTATACATGTATTTAGAATGTTTGATGTTCGTGTGTGCGTGTTGGTGGAGCATAGACTCTCCGCACACCCAGCGCTGTTTACTTGCCTTTTATACCTTTTATATCTTTTATACCTTTTAGAAATATTTGTTTTATAAATATTACGAAATTCAGATTGAATTCAGACCTCATTTATAACATCAAATAACCTTCGAATTTAGTTTTTACTGGAATACACTAAGCTAAAGAACATCTAAACCTTCATATTACTTTTCATTAACATATAAAAAGACTTTGTAGCAGTCATGATACCAACAATTAAATAACTACATACATCATTAAGTAACTGCAGAACTACAAATAAAGTCTAACCAAAGTATCATCTGAACCCACCACTGACTATCTGCACATAGCTCAGCAAACTTTCTAGACAAATCAGCAAAACGTTTGCCTAGAAGTATGCCTTGTGTGCATTTAATAACAATCCAAAATTCAAAGATAGCTACAGCAATGTCCAGCTATCCAAAGAAAGTTACAGCATTAACATTCAAGTTCCAGATGCAGCATATTCTTCTACACAATTATCAAGGATTACGTGAAAAAAAAAAAATCTGGGTAATGTGATAATGTTCAAATACATATTTTTAAGGTATTAATGTAGTACTCACACTGTATAATGACAGGAGTTGGAAGTGTGCAACCCACCTGTCTGGTAGTACGATTCAGCTACTGAAGGCTGAGGCTGGGCAGCAGCCACAGCCGCAGCAGTTGCTGTTGGCTGTTGATAGTATTGTTTGCTGTCATAAGCTACAGCTGGGGCAGTAGATCGAACATAAGAATAGGATTCCTAAAAATTTTCAAAAAAGAAAACAGTGATTTTCTCCTTAAAATAGGTATCTGGAGTAATAAAGCTCATTACCAGAGTCAAAAAATAAAAACAATATATTTCCTTCTAGTCTACACTAAATGAGATAGTTTTTAAAAAAAATTATTCATGGAGACAACATACATAGATATATGCATTAAAGAAATTAAATGTTTACAAATGCTTCTGGCCAGAATACAAACCTGATGGTCTTTTTCAGATTTTATATAAAAATTAACCTCACTTAATTAAATCACTTTCCCTTCCAAGCTATTTCGTAACTGAAAAGCAACTACTTTCATTAGTTTTTCATAGAAACTATATCAAATTCCTAAAAAAAATATGAAGGAAAAAAACCACCACCAATCTCCACAAAATGTTAATTTCTATAAACCACAATAAAGTCACAAGGTTACAAACATCATCCTATATTTGCCTTAAAAATAGTTATAATGGTTTTCTTGGTTATATTTGTTAAGAGTGTGGAAGTGACTTTCAAAGCCTTCTTCATTTTTTGACATATCAGCTGTTCCGTTAGGGAACCATAACTAGTCTACAAGGGTAAGGCAAGTAGCCCATTCAATACAGCCAGAACTCAGAAGATGGCTAGTAAGCTTAGAATAGGTGAGCCTGGAAACCACTACATATGTATACATATTTTCTCATCCATACCATATTTACGGTAAAGTGTGACTAGCTGACCAACTGATGGGTAGCAGGGCATAAGCTACGTTAACTGAAGTCTACTGACATGAAATTTTCTTTAATTTAGGGGACTCTTCTCTGAATACATCGAGTAACTGACTACCTTAATGACGTGAATATACACCCAACTGGAAGGACTCCTAGGTTACAATTCATTACTATATGTAACAAATTCTAAAAGCTGCACAAAAGAAATGATAACCTAAAGCAACAGAATCATCCTTTTAAACAAACAAACCCACTAATTAGAATCTATATAATGCCTTGATAATTTTACAACTAATATATTAAGGAAATATTACAAGGGACATACTGTTTCAATGTCCTCTGTCTCACTAGTAAATGCAAATTTTAAATATGAACCATGCCACAAAATTTATGTAATTCTTGTGCATAAACACACCAGCCTAGAGATATCCACTGAAGGCTTGGACTAACAAATGCTAATGTAGAAAAAAAGCTGTTAAAAATGCAAATAATGCTCACATTTCCAATGGAAAAATACACGGCCATGTAAAACCCCTCCTCTTTCTGCATCTAAACTGTCTAATTGAAACCAACGGGCTAGGATTGCTGATGTGCAGATACACCTGTATTATGTGAATCTAGACAGACAGGAAAAACTGCAACTTCTGACACTTCTAAAATCCGAACAGGAATAAACACATATGTTAGAAAGTCCCAACATGACCTCTACAGACTGAAATCTTCCAGCTGCAAAATCAATGTAGCACACTGATTTATACTGCAAGTTTACTAACTCATGAACTGAGAAGGAATACAATCCAGTAACAGGATGCTGTCATACTACATTTAAGCCAGTCCAAGAGTGGGAAGCTGTCTAAAGTACCAACAAATCTCTCTCCAAACAGGCCTCTTCCTTTTAACATACAAATTTAAAAACCATTAAGCAGAAGATTTTTTTAAGCATACCTGGTAATTCTGCGTAGTGACAGGAGGTGGTGGTGGTGGTGGAGCTTCTTGTTGCCTCTGTGTATAACCATAATCTGTAGCTGTGTGTGCTGTAGGGTAGCCTCCATATGCAGCAGCTGTTGCAGCAGCTGCGACAGCTACTGGAGCAGGCCTAGCTACTGCAACCGTAGCTGCTGCTGGGGCATAGGCTGCAGTAACCGTGTGAGCAGCAACTGGGGCTTGATGGACAGTGTAGCTAGCAACTGTAGTTGGATGGGAATAGGCTACACCCGATGCTGGCTGCTGGCTACATGGAAAAAAGACAGTAAGTAAATAATTAGGTTAATTCAACATATTAAGCTAATACATAAGCATTTCAAAATCCTGGATTTAATTAATATTTGCCTGTTCTACAAACAAAGCTGGAATGGCTATCTACCTGTACATACGCTTCAATAGCTAGTATTACCTCTCTTCTACTCACATTAAAAAAAAACACTATCATTTTGAAGTTTCTGTGAATACAGAAATATCAAGTGGCTAATGACATTCTTCTTAGAGAGTGTTATATATGGAGTGGTAATTTGTGTCGAGAAAATGGTTGATATTAATAAAGAAGGGGGAGATGTGGGAGTGGGGCCATGGAGGTCGGAAAGCCCTGTGGTTGATGATAACATCAGACTCCTAACGATGAGGCCATCAGGAAGGGTGATTCAGGAGACTCCATGCAGTCTCCAGTTTCTTGTTCTCCAGCTGGTTCTCTTGTTCTCCAGCCATTAAGGCATGGATGTTTCGGGGTGTTTGCTGTTGTTATATGCAAAGTTGTTTGACCAATGAAAAGTTGTTTTTAAAAGAACTGCTGTGGAGAGAAGGGTATAAGAAAGGAGCCTGCCCTCAAGATGGAAAGAAAAAAAAAAAAAGGCAACACGATGAAGTTATGTCATCAATAAAGAAGTAGAAAAAAGGAATGAAAAGGAACAGGTTAGCAAAATGGAGACCAGGATGGGAACAGGCACATTGATCGCCTCATGAAGATAGGTTTGGCCAAACTCAGCAAACTGCTCAGAGAAGCTCTTACAGAAAGTCGCTGGGAATAGGCGTACCGGAGCTGGGAAGAAGCTTAAGCTGAGAGAAGCGGACCCGCGCACACAACTGCCTCTTGCTGGTAAGCAGCTGCGCATTATGGGGAATCATACGTCCTTAGAAACAAAGACCGTCCTGGTAACCTTACAGCTTATTCTCCTTATTAACAATCGGACAGTTTATGAGCCTGAAATATGGGACCAAGCTGAGGTCATGGTGTGGGACTCTGCAACTAAAAATGGCAAGGTTGCAGTGGGATTGCTCGGCACCTGGCGAGCTATCTCCGAGGCCTTAAAGAGCCATGTGGAGCCACAATCACAAACGTGTGGCTTGCCAGATAGTGAGGGAGCCGTGGGCTCCTTTACTGATCCGACTGCTACGCCATGGGCCCCTCTGCTGCTACAGCCATCGAAGGCTTTTGCTGTTCTGCCCCCTGGTGACCTGGATGTGCCTTTTGACCCAGGCCCTATTGGCCTTAAAAAAGAGATGGATATGCTTTTCTTCAATCTGGGAAGAACGGGATACACAAGGCCCAAAGGCTGAGTTGCTTGACAACTTAAAGTGAGACATATTGTTCAAAAGGAATGGAAAATGGTGACTGTTAAGTCATGGAACTTAAAGGATTGCTTGTTACCTTTTCTGATTGTACATATGTATAGGTGTACTCGTGTTTAGTATGTAAAAGCAATGTTCTGTATATTTAGAATGTTTGATGTTCGTGTGTGCGTGTTGGTGGAGCGTAGACACCCAGCACACACAGCGCTGTTTACTTGACTTTTATACCTTTTATAAATATTCCTTTTATAAATATTACTAAATTCAGATTGAGTTGAGACTTCATTTACAAGAAGAGGGTTTGTGGGTTGGTTTTGTGTTGTTTTTTTTTTCCTGAAGCAGTGAAAAAGAAATCTTTCATTCAACGTTTTAAACTATTATCTTTTCATGCCTGACAAGCTTCTGCTTCATTAGTTCTTCAATAAAACCACCTGACAAATGAAGAAAAATACTACTTTTCTATGACAGCTCATTATTGACCTGCACTTGCATTATGTTTTTCAGTAAACTATATGTAGTGGGTTTACATGGCAAGGTTTTGGTAGCAGGGGGGCCATAGGGGTGGTTTCTGTGAGAAGGATCTAGAAGCTGCCCCATGTTTGGTAAGGGCCCCATTGTTGACCAGAGCCGAGCCAATAAGTGATGTTGTTTTGCGCCTCTGTGAGAGCATATTTAAGACAGGGAAAAAAACACTGCGCCACACAGCAGCTCGGAGAGTGAAAGGAGTGAGGAACGACCTTGCAGGCGCCAAGGTCAGTGAAGAAGGAGGGGGAGAGGTTCTCCAGGCGCCGGAGCAGAAGTCCCGTGCAGCCTGTGGTGAGGACCATGGTGAAGCAGGATGTCCCCCTGCAGCCCATGGAGTACCACGGTGGAGCAGGGTTCCACGCTGCAGCCCGTGGAGGAGACCACGGTGGAGCAGGTGGCCCTGCACCGACAGAGGCTGCCGCCTGTGGAAGACCCCTGCCGGAGCAGATTCCGGGCCGGACCTGTAGCCCATGGAGAGGAGACCACGCAGGAGTAGGTGACCTGGCAGGAGCTGCTGCCCATGGGGGACCCAGTTTGGAGCAGTTTTCTCCTGAGGGATGGACCCCGTGGTACGGACCCATATCTGGAGAAGTTCTGGAAGAGCTGCTGCCTGTGGGAAGCCCACGCCGGATCAGTTCATCAAGGACTGTGTCCCGTGGATGGGACCCCACAGCACAGGGGACGAGAGTGACCGAGAAGGAGCGGCAGAGAAGCGCTATAGACTGACCATAACCCCCATTCCCCTGTTCCCCTGCGCCACTCAGGGGGAGGAGATGGAAGAGGGTGGATGGGGGGGAAGGTGCTTTTGGTTTCTTTCCTTTGTTTCTCACTTCTCTAGCTTGTTAGTAATAAGCAATAAATCTTACTATCTCCTTATGCCAAGTCTGTTTTGCCCGTTACAATAATTACTGCGTGATCTTGTCCTTATCTCAACCTTTGAGCTCTTTTCATCATATTTTCTCCCCATTCCTCTTTGAGGAGGGGGAGTGAGAGAGCGGCTGTGGTGGAGCTCGGCTGCCCACTCGAGCAGAACCACGACACTATATTAAAGCTATGAGGTTGTAAAGATTTCCATGAAAATTAGCTCAGAACTCTTAAAGTTAAAGCAGAGACACTTTAAAAACATACCTGTGATACCAGGCTTTTCCCACAAAAGTTTACAATTATAAAATACCAGCCCCACTTGAACAGGAGTCCACTGCCTTACCGCATGAAGGATCATCAAAAGACAGCCAGATCAAGGAAGAAGACTTCCACCAGAACTCTGGCAATCTTCCAGGCACATGCTGAGACTAACATGCCTTTCTAAAATTTGCAGGTAGGACATTAATATGTGGCTATTTACTAAGAACGAGTAATTACTAACAATGGAAACAGAAAATTTATGATGGGTTTATTTTTTGAACAGAAACAAATGTTATTGTCTTATTTCAATCCCTACCCATGCATTATGATTAAAAGCTTACAATATCTGTTCTGATTTTTTGAACAAATACAGTGAACTGAGATAAATATCACTATGTAGAATAATTATATGAAATGGGGATTCAGTGATTATTCTGATTTTTTTCCATACATTTCCAGCACTGCTATTCACTAATATTTAATAATCATAGGGTTCTACAACTCCATAGAACTATTAAAAGATAATTCAAATCCAATTTCGTGTCTGTCAAGGAGATAGCATACACTATTTTAAAGAAAACAGAAATGATATCTTACTTGAAAGAAACATACACAATGGCACAGTGGAATTGAAGCATGGTTATGCTCAAAACCAAAAGTGTGGGAATAGAAATGTTGTTTTTGCAGAGTTACATTGTTTAGAAGGAGGGAATGTGGTACTGAGATATGCTTACAGTGATAAGAAAGTTTAGCAGGCGACCTTGTAAAATGCAGACAACCAGACTCCTTAGGACAATTAGGTGAAAATCATGGTGTCAAGTCAAGTCAGATAAGTGAAGAAACATTACCACTTCAAACAGTAAAAATGGCAAAAGGAAATTGAAATTTGACAGGCCGACAACTGAAGGCCATGCATTGTTTGTGAAGCATCAGATAGATTGTGAACCTGGATTACCCACTCAGTGGGGAAACAGGGGAGGGTCCTGTCATCAAAAAGTATATAAACTGCGTTTTGGAACTAGTAGATGCGCTCTCTCCTGCTTGTGGGGCGCCCGCCATTGCAATCGCGAATAAATTACTACTTCACTGAGATCCTCGCCTGAGCCTAAGTTACTGGCTACGGAGTGTTTCTCACAAAAGGAACAAGAAGAAGTCAAGACAGCTTTTCCAAAAGACAGCAATATTATCTCTGACATAACTTCCAGAAACAAAGCACCTTTTTGCTGTAGATATTTTTGCTAAAAACATTTCCATAACTCTACTGCGTTTAGTAATTAAAAATAAAATTTGTCATTTAATTACAGCAGAACACATTGACTTTAACATATCAAAAAGCCATTTTTATGTCAGAAACACACAGAGAAATTTTTATTACTACTGGACTTCCATGTCTAGGCTCTACCTTCTTCCCACCATAGTCCCCTGATATTTCATTGTTTAAAAGACCCTTTACATTACATCCAAATTCAACTCAGTTGTGAGTTGTACTCATGATTATATTACATTATATATATTAATGTTATTTATATGTATTAATATTAAATATTATATTACGTTTTATTTTTAGCTTCTTGGTGTAACAGTGGAAGGATAAGACCTAAAATACTTTGGTGTAGCTCGAGTCACTGCTTGAAACAATTCCTCCTATTTGATTTATATAGGTAGTGCCTTTGTTTTGTCAGCTTTGGGTCAGAAATCACTGTCAGAAAACTCATGAAAACTATTTTATGATGGTAAAAGTGTATGATAATCTATAAAATTAGGCTGCATTGTTTACGTACCTAACAGCACAAAAGTGTAAAATATTCACACGTTCAAAAGTAATTCACAGTATCACATGCATCTACTCAAAATATATTACTGAGAAAACAGGAAGCCTTATACTTTCACTTGGATTACAACTGAACTCATCAACAGTGCAATACTGCCAATGAAGGGACAGTCTTGCTCCACCCTATCCTCATTCTCACTCTTCCTTCCTCCCATATATCAAATCTGGCCATCACATACAATTCCATC